TCATTTTATACAGCACTTGTAGTTTTGTATAGTAACGACAACAACTCAATTGTAGCTGGCCGTTGTCCGTCCGCGTCACTGCCGCACCGTGGTCTATGGCGCGGCAGAACCATGCCTATGGAGCACCAGAACCTGGGCTATGGCGCGGCAAATGATTACGTTCGTTTTAGAAATTTTGAACGCATGATACAAACAGATGTGATCACTTAAGATCGATCATGGGTAATCCGAGTACATGATACATGGGTACAATACATCAGTAGTTCAAATGGAATATAAGACAACACAATAGAATTTCTACTACATAGCTACATTGATCATTAATAAAGCATGGAACTAACAGACATCGCAATCAAAAACTCTCAGTCAGAAACATACTGAGTAAGCAACTCATCGTCCGAGTACCAATCCTCAACCACAACCACTTCTTTGTGGTTGGGCTCACCTACATTGCTCGACCTGCATTAGTAAATGCAGAGTAAAAAATTTGAGAATTTCATCTCACGGTCGCGCTGCGGCCTGAGTGAAGAACGCGTCGTCATCCTCCTCCACATGTAAGCCCACCTCTGCTAGAGCGATGAGCTCACTCAGTCTGCTAGTGTCGTCCTCATCCTTATTCGCCTGCAAGCCCGCCTCTGCTAGAGCGATGAGCTCGCTTAGTCTGCCAGTGTCGTCCTCATTCTCCACCGCCTGCAAGCCCGCCTCTACTAGAGCAATTAGCTCACTAAGTCTGCCAGTGTCGTCCTCATCCTCGTCCTCCTCATTAGACAACACAATCGGGGATTGAACGGTGCGACCAGCTCGCGATGTATGCTCATCTAACTTCTTCTCATCATACCTTGCACGAGCCACCTCTATGGCATGATCCTCGCTGTAACTAGTCCCTTCATGTATAAAATGCAATTAGTTAGCAACGCGATTATATTACATTTAAAATCAGGCAACGAAAAAAGGCGTTCAAGCACTCACTGCCACATAATGCATCAACATGCTCGTTCAAGACCTGCATCTGTACTCTTGTCTCCTCCCTTGCCTCCTTCCTTGCCCTCTCCTCCTCTAACGTCATCCACCTCTCCAATCCCCATTTGTTAAGCCCAATATCGATCGGGTTACAAATACCGCGCTGTCTAGCAAACTCACACATCTTTTCTTTGTGATGTTTAACGAATAGGTTGACGTAGTCAAGTCCATATCCCCTCTTCCTTGCAATTAGTTGCCTCTTCTTCAGTTCATCCAAGAACTTAGCTTGACCATCGTAATGTTCCCACCTGTATTTCCTAGTGCTCTGTTCAAAACAAAAATTATATCATATATGTCTTCGCAAAAGAAACAAAATATGGCCGCAATAATGGCCTATTCCAAACTCCGAAGGGACTAGGCCATAGTTAGAATTAACACCACATTCGCACTTGACTGGTGGTGGTTTGTAAATTAACCTTTCTTTCTTCTTTTGTTTTGCTTTTGGAGGTTCTTCGGGCCATTTGTTCTTAGGACCATACAACCACTACTTGAAACGACACTTCGCCATTGAATACACCTAAATAACGTGACATTAGTACATGACACATATAGCTCAACATTTCAACACATACACTTTGCACTTAATTCATGCTTATTTGGACACACAAACTCTAACGTATTATCAGGATTTATCACAGTTCGGTCTTCGTAATGGCACAGAGGAGGTTCCTCGAGTCGTCTAACTGCGGCTAAGTGCTTCTCCTTAACCGTCATTGGAGGGGGGTTACGGGGAGGTGGAACCCACCGCTCGAAGTGCTCTCGTGGTTGTCGTCCTCTCCACCAATCGTCGAAAAGGAGATACCTGGGGTCAAACTTGTCTGCACCGTCGATCCACTGAAAGAAAAAACACCTCTCATGGTCCTACACAACAAAAATTCAACAAAATATTAGTAATCTAGTAATACAAATGAAGAAGAAAAAGATAGTGGAAACAATTACTTACATTAAAACGACTGCACGTGTAGAAGCAACGAGCCGCTGTGTCCGGATGTCTCGATTGAAACACGTCGACCGGACGACCACAGTCACAGTTAGGGACAGGGGGTTCAGAAGGGACGGGGGCATCTTTGTTAGACTCGTCGGGGTACATTTCTCTAGAACGACCCCATTTTCGCCATAACTGCTCTCGAAACATGTCTTTCATCTAATAAAACAGTTCAAATTAAACATCAATTAAAACAACGCAAATTAATAAAAAAAGTAATCATTTGCAATGCAACTAAAATATTATAAACAACAATTATAGCAACAAAAATATACATGACAAACATACTTCTAACTAAATAATTAACCTTAACATTGACAAAATCAAACTAATATCTTCACCATAGTTTCCAAACATAATTTTTCTACTAACCTTAACTTCCATTCATAATATCCTATCCACCATTTAAACGAAAATAAAATATGCGTCATTACCTTGAACTAGGACGAGGGGGGAGGGAGGCGGCCGACGAATGGGAGGGAATTGAGGGAGGCGGCAATGGAGGGTGGGGGCTGCCGCCATTAAATGGCCTTGTGGGCGGTGTGCTTGGCAACGTGGCGATGGGCGGAGCGGCGCGCCTAGGCGGCTTTTGCTGCTTTCGACATAGGGATTGCGGGGGGTTATACCCGCTCTGCCCGCGCCCACGGATCGGATCGCAACCTTTGCGCCGCACAAGATCGGTGGCGCGCGGCGAGAGCCTTGCCACGTCGTGATCGGCCGCCACCGTTCGCGCCGCCACGTCAAACCTCTCTCGCTACACCATGGCATGGACAGGCATTTGGCCGCGCCAAGGCAATAGGCGCGGCCAAAAGTGTTAGTTTAAAAAAATCGAAAATGTTAAATTTAAAATTAGTTTTGAAAAAGTGTTAAAATTAAAAAAAATTCAACAAAACAGCTTTAGCCGATTTATCAGCAGAAAACCATCAGCCGAACAGCTCGATTGTAGCAAGTTCTGGTATTCGTTTAACTAATCAATGGCGCTGTAGTAGATTCATGTACCCCATGTCTTAATACCGGCGCTGATGTACCCGTACCCAGTATGGAATCCAAGCCTCTGGATTTCATTACGGAAGATTTAAGACCGGTTCAGGTCTGTTTCACTTTCATCTCCGTATACTTGTGCAACTGTAGCCCGAGTTATTCACAAGCTTTTAAGGCAGGCTCAGCAGGTCTGTTTTCATCCGTATTGCTTGCCAGTAGCCTTCGAGGGCTTTCGGCTGGCTGGCCAGCGTACTCACTTCGGCACTGTTCACGTAAACAGTATTTTCAGACATAACAGTGTTTTTTTTTTCCGCACCAATTGTTTTGCTGGGAGGCTGAAGGATGATAATCACCGGGACCGACCTCTCGCATGGTTTGCAAGGCCATTACACGTTGACTCTCTATTGGACAGTTGGAGGAGTCACAGGCAGTAGAGATGTTCAAGATTGCGCAGAAGTTTCATTGTTTCAATGCCGACTCTGGTCTCGTACGTGTGCGATCCAAGCCTCGGGATCTCATACTTTTATTACTGCACACAAGTTTTTAAGACGAGTTCAGGGCCCGTAACCTGTGTCGTCCGTGTCGCCAATTGCCTTCCGTCGTCCTCGACCTGCCGTCGCCACTGTGCGAGCAGCAGGCTGCTGGAGGCGTCACGGCAACGGCCAACGGGACTCTGCGCTCTGCGGTCCCCCCCGCCCGCGCGCTTCTTGCGTGCGCCGTGCCGCCGTCTGCGATTGCCCGACCATTCCTGGGCGCCGGACAGCTGCAACTGCTTTGCGGTGCTGCTGTCCACACGCAGCAACAGTTCGCGGAATGATTCCGCCACGCAGCGGCAGCCGGCAGCGCCGCACAGGACGCCGAAGCTGCAGCGGTTTCGGTGGAATTCGCTGCCCCGCATGATTACCCCGGCTTGGCTCGGATTCCTCTCCTTTGCAGGCTGCTTGCTGGTTGCTGCAGCAGCAGGCAGTGGCATGGCGGATTATGGAGAGAAACTAGCGGTTCACAAGTCTTGTCTCACTGCAAAGTCTCTGCCTCTGGCAACGCGAAGGCGAAGCTGATTCTCTAGTGAAGCTAAGGTCCAGTTTAGTTTGCAAAAAATTTTGCAAAATTTTTCACATTTCCCGTCACATCGAATCTTTGGACACATGCATGAAGCATTAAATATAAATAAAAAATAAAACTAATTACACAGTTTAGACGAAATCCACGAGACGAATCTTTTAAGCCTAATTAGACTACGATTAGACACTATTTGCCAAATAATAACGAAAATGCTACAGTACTCATTTTGTAAAATTTTTTGCATCTAAACAAGCCCTAAAACACTTCATATGCTAAAACGATTTCGAAGAGCATTTTCGACAGGAACAGATATGACCAAAAGTTTTGGCTCTAGTTTCTAATTCGAAAAGGGCTTCGCCTTTTTTGGTGGCTTCAGGTGCGAAACCATTTTTTTATCCCGTTTATAGGGCTCCTTGGTAAGCTGGAGCCGGAGCTCTCTTAGAAGTCCTCTAAGAGGGCCAAGACCAAGTTTTTCTATGAACAGAACATGCAAAGAACAGCCAGTGCGTGTAATAAGTGAATGAGAAATGAGAGCTCCGACCGGAGTAATAGTATATATGACGCTAGTGGTACAAGTGAGCTTCTCATTACACAGGCTACATGGAAGAATGAAGATTCAGGGCATGCAGCTCCGATCCTGCCTAGTATTAAGCTACACCTTTTGACACCATAACTGAACACTATCATCACATACACTGAACAGCATCTAGCAACTATAAGAACTGCTGATTACTGATGAGCTATAGAGGAAACTAGCTATAGAGATATATATACGAGCTGTAGTAGTACAAGTACAGCAGTAAAAACGCAGTACTCCTAACACCCCTACCACCATGCACCTCCTAAGCTGATGTGATCCAAGCCAAAACCACTTGGCCGGCCCTGCACCTAGCTAGCGCTGCTACTCGATCTCTACTACTAGCACCAGCTGCTACACGAAGCTGCTAGCTAGCTAGCTGCTCTTCTTGGGCTCCGGGCAGGCCACCCTCCGGCGCTTCTTCTGGGCGGTCGGCGGCTTTTGCGCGGCGGGGTGCTGGCGCCAGAAGAGGCGTTCCAGCTCCTCCAGCCGCAGGCTGAACACCTCCACCTCGAACAGGCGCTTCCGGCACGGCGCGGGGGCCGCGGGCCCCCGCGGCTTCCGCGGCGCCGGCGGGCACGTCCCCGGCGGCTTCACCTGGCTCTCCCCGCTCGTCGGCGTCCGGCACCGGTAGTCCTCCTCCTCCTGCGGCCACATGGTCGCGGCGGCGGCGCTCTCCTCCGCTACCGCTCCTGCGGCTCCCGCCCCTGCCCCATGCAGGAGGAGCGGCGAGCTGCACGGCGAGAACGCCGGCGGCGCTGGCTTGTAGAACTCCGGCGACGCAGACATGGCGGCGGGTATGGGAATGGATTGCTCGGGCTGTGTGTGCTAGCTGGTTCTTTGTTGAGAGAAGAGAAGACAAGAGGGCGGTGGGTGTGAAATGAAACGGAGGGAGGAAACGAGCAAGGGGCGGGGGCGGGAGGTTGCTTGGGACGCTTGGTTACTTCTCCCTGGGTTGGGGTTCTTGCTTGGGGATATGGTCTGCTTTTGGGAGAAAGGGCCCTTTGTTTCGGCCCTTTTGTATTGGGCGGGTGTCCCTTTGTACCCAGCATGTTCGAATCATACGGTTATACGGATACAGCACACATGCATGGTATTGGTATGGATACTCCAACTCAATAAAAAAACAATTCTAGAAAAAAAATATTTCACGATATATATCTAGACAACTAGCGATACTAATTTTATGTCATAAATATTGATACCATTTTCCATAAATCAATAAATATAATCAAACTTAAAATAATTTGCGGATAGGCGCTGCGACTTGCCCCCTTCAGCCTAATCGGCTGGGCTTATTGCCTCGTAAACAATCGTAAATTTTTAACCAAAACAGTATTTTTCTCTCACATTAAATCAGACAGCAATACTTCTTCACAATCCAGCAACGATCCAGCCCAGCCAAACCATCAGTCTGCTTGTCTGTCACCAGGGCTCGGCCCTGACGAGCGCGCGTGCCTCACGTACTTCGCTGCCGCCCGCCGCAGGCCGCAGCCCCGCCGCGCGGCGCGACGCGACTCGCGAGCATCGGATGTCCCCGCCCGTGCGCCTAGATTTTTTATGAGAAAATTCCTTCATTGTCATCTAAAGCTATATTAATCACTTCATTGCCATTCTGATTTACATGTTCTCTTGGTTGGCATTAGTTTATTCGTCCGGTCACGTTCCGCCTGTCGCGGCAACCGGCCGCGCCGGACGTCGACGTGTCCCCTGCCACTGCCGTCGACGAGAGCGCCGCAGTCCGCAGACAAACGCGCTCAGAGTCAGAGAATCCATAGCTCTCTCATCTTCTTCTTTTTTTCGTTTTCATTTGAGAAGAAAATCGTGACAGGTACTCGTCGTTGCTGAGCGTTACTGCTAGCGCTAGCATGTAGTACTAGTATTACATTTTTTTAACATGGCGCCGCGAGAGAGAGAAAGAGGGGTGCCTTTGGCTTGATCAACTGAAAGCTTGTCGTATATGACATGCGCTCGAGCTAGAAAGCCTAATAAGGCGGTGTTTAGTTGGGCAGTTAAACTTTATATAGTGAAGATTTTCTACTGTAGCATTTTGTTTGTATTTGTGAATTATTGTCCAAACATTGACTAATTAGGCTCAAAAGATTCGTCTCGTAAAGTTAAAGCAAAGTGTAATTAGTTTTTGATTTCGTCTACATTTAGTACTCCATGCATGTACCGCAAGTTTGATGTGACAAGAAATCTTCTTTTTACATAGTGCACTTTTCAGGAGTTTGGAGAAACTAAACAAGGGCTAAGCCGAGAGAGTTTTTTTTATAACTACAAGGTCGGTCTTAGCGAGAGGTCTCGTGACATTGTTTTTAAGACTATTATATCATATAGAATGAAATAAAACATGGATAAAACATTATTTCTCAATAAAAAGTTTCCTTCTATAGTTTCATATATAGATATTTAATTTCATAAGTTAGAAGTCACAAAGATTAAGTAACCGTGTCTAAGAGTGTTTGGGCCCCATGAAACTCGTTCCTTCTCTATCTTCTTGAAAACATTGCCACGTCATCGAAAATGCTTATTACAAATGAAACTCTGATGAAACTCCCACCAAGAATGGCCTATAAACCGAGAGTTGAAGCGGTTCTGTTGGAGCGGTCCTAACCAAAAACTCTTTGTAGTTTCTATTGAAATTATTTGATTTAGGGGCCGTTCGGCTGCCCTGAATTTCAGCCGGAATTCACTTGTTCACGGCTGAAAAACATTGTTCACTCTCTTACAAATTTCTCCAGATTCCTCCCAGCGAACAGGGCCTTAAGGTTGGGCCAGGTCCAATTAAATCCAACAAAAATAACTAGCGCAACAAATTACACGTCATGTTATAATGCACAAACATGTTCACTAGTAATAATACTGATTAAAGAATAAAAATTATTTCTTCCATCTCTCACTCATCTTCCATCCCTCAATCAGTCATCTCTTACTCTAACCCTTTTTGTTTTGAGTTTGGAGCTGCAAAACCTTTGTTGATGCTGCCCCACTCATGCCTCGCGTTGTAGGGCGTGATGAACAAACATGTGGCTCACCTTTCACCTTAGCTTTCTTAAATTCACAATAGGTGCATATAATAACTATTTATTTAAGTTAAGTTAATCTACTACAATTTTTCACATGGGATTAATACCTTATTGCACTAGCATTTATTATGGGTCTTGGAATATATTTGATTTAGGGTCGACTCAAGTCCAATTAAATCCAACAAAAATAGGTAGCCCACTTTCATTAGAACGAGCATCATGCAACAAATTGTACATCCACAACGTACGGACATATGTGCTAGTCCAATATTAAAGTGAAAATGGTATTCTTCTGACCGTCATATTTTACTTTCCATAATGCACTCACACATCTCTCCATCCCGTCCATGATCTAGACTCGCGACCTTCTCACGCGTACTACCAATCTAGACTAGAAGAGCATAGCATGCTCGCATACAAGCTAGAACACGCGTGTCTAACCATGAGTCCGGAGTCCGGTTCTAATATTCCAAGCATATTGGAAGGAATGACATGGTCTTATGAAATCTCTGAGCTACAAGTCATCTAGATGACCACACAATAAAGTGTATGTTCTATTGTGACACACAAACGTCTTTGCTAGTACATAAAATTTCATCCCGCCCCAAACTATCAATTCATAGAATCACCCTATGTCGAAACTATCTTAAATTTAACTAATTTTATTGGACTTGGTAACGATTCTATGACACTAAATAATTAGATTATAAAAATATATTTCACGACGTATGTAGTGATATACTAATTTGGTATTATAAATATTGGTGTTTTTTCTATAAATTTGATGAAAATGCAAAATAGTTCTGACTTAGGATAATTGTAGAAGTTGATTTAATTTGAGATTATCTTTAGTTTACGTGCGACTACTCATATCTCATCTTAAATCTCTAGGAGTACATTGTTGATGAAGCTCAAGGTCGAGGCTACTAGTTGACGACCCTACACTAAGGGCATGTTTGGTTGCAACCCTGGATCATTTGCCTGGGACAAGACGCTGCCTGCATGTTGCCTGTGAATGCTTTTGGTTTTGCCTGGTCAGGCAGCTAGAAGGATGCTTGTTTGGTTCAAATGTGTTGCCTGGAGAGTAGGACCGTGCCCCCCCTAGCTCATTAATAGAGAGTAGTCATATTAATTGAAGCTCAGGCAAACGCATGCAACACCAGGCGATCGATTTTGGTTGCCTGGCAGGAGAAGGAGTTGCCTGGTGGAGGCTGCTGTCTAGGACACCAACCAAACAACTTCCAGACAGGGTACAGGCAACAACCAGTCCAGGCAAAATTGATCCTAGGTTACATCCAAACATGCCCTAAGTGCGTGTGCGGCTCGATGTCGCTCGTGCTCCAGCCACCTTGATCGTCTCGACCGGCCTGGCCTGTATGTGAAGCGTGAACTGCCTGTGCCTACTACCTTCACCTGATCACCTCGATCGTGAAAAGCCTTGCCACTTCACTCTAGGCAGCAGCTAGTACTCCTGCTATATTCTCAGGTCGCTCTGCAAGCGCTCCCGTCCTGTTCAGTGTTAACCCCGACTTAGCCAGGCCACTAGCATTATTCAGTCTATTCGTTTGGCCGTGGCTTGTCGTAAACGATCGTAAATTTCCAGCTGAAATAGTATTTTTCTCTCACACAAACCAGTCAGCAGTACTTCTTCACGAACCAGCAACGATACGAACCGGCCAACTGAACAGGTTGATTATCATGTTGGGATCTGTAAACAGTAACTTCGTCGGTTCCACCATGTGGTAACTTCCAGGTCGGCAGCACAGTTAACTTTCGTCCGGACCAAGGGTGCACGTGGAGATGGGAAGAGAGGGAGAGTCAAGGAAGCAGGCAAGCGGCCGCATCGGATGCGGTTGCTGGCGCATGGGTTTCGGCGCCCGAATCCGCAGCTGCCGTGGCACTGGCATGGCGTGGCATACTACTGCAAAACCTCGCCGAAGGTCAGCTTCCATTTACGCCACAACTCGTCGACCACAGGTCCACAGCACAAGGCAATCACCCGTACTTCAGTCCCTTTTTCTTACCATTTTTAAAAAAAAAATTGTGACAGCTGTCGCCATTACGGAGGACTATGAAAGAACGAGAGTAAAAGTAATATACCGGCTGGGAGTACATTCCCTTTTTTATATTACACAATGCACAGCTCCCAGCTGCTGGGCTCCGAGCATCTCAAAAGTATTTTTAAATTCACTCTCTAAATCATCGCTAGATAGTCATTTTGAATAATAAAAATCGGTCTCTATATTTTTTCACCCTCCAACAACCTCTCTGTATTTGTGTGCACTCTAAAGAGTTATTCTCGCTCTCCATCTTTAGCCAGCAAGAAACTCGACACTCAGGATATCAATATTTGAAAAACTAATTGAAGAAACTGTTGTATAGATTTGTTCCCACTAAAATCTCTATTTCTATCAATATAAAATGATATAATGAAGTTACACTTAGGCTTTACACTTAGGCTAGTCTCAGTAAGAGTTTTATGTTAGTTTATTTGTATTTAATAGGGATAGGTTGCTACATAGTTAATTTTTTTGACATGACAATGTTTCTAAGAAGAGAGAAGATGTGAGCTTCATCTAGATGATTTTTTTCAAATGATTACGAACTTTATTTATATGAATCATAAAATTAAATGTCTATGAAACAATACAATGAAATTAGGCCCTGTTCGGCTTGCTGAAATTTGGTTGAAATTAGCTGAAAAACACCGTCCTGGCTGAAATGTTGTGAGAGAAAAACACGGTTCCGGCTAAAAAAAAC